CCGGGGGGCTGGAGGCAGGCACGAGGAGTGCGCCCTCGCCCAGCGGGGGCGGCGACGGCGCCTGCTCTGCAGCTAAACGCACAACAAAATAAAGCATTTGAAACGTGTCTCATAATTAGGAGAGCTGCATTGCTGGGGGAAAAACAGGCGCTATTAACACACTGCTGAAAGTACTGAAATTTAGCTTAAATAAAGATACAGAAGTGCATTCCAATTCAGATGATGTGCAGGTGATGTGGGTTTAATGGCTACGGGCATTTCACAGACACTGCACGCGCTCCGCGTTACTGTGGTTGTGGTAATTATCCCTTTTTCTTTTTAAGCAGCACATAAAATAGTCACATAAAGCTTCTATAAATGTCGCACGGAAAAGCTAGGACTCCTCATGGCAGCCATGTCTTATCTGCTCCTGTGTTTGAAAAATCTCAGCTCTTCCTTTTCCATCCATTAGGTATTTAGGGAGTTGAAATAAATTCACCGTTCACCACCTGCCTCATTATTAATACTCTTTCTTGAACCTGGCAACAAAGCTTTCATTTAGTCACCCTGATCAAAGACTAGAAAGTACCTTTATCTCTAAACACTTCAGATAAAAAACTAGCAGAAAAGCTACCCCTAAACACTCAATAACTTCCAGCTGGTTTTGGCGATACAAACAACAAGCAAAGCTGTCGGGGAGCTCCCTAAAACGGAGACAGCGCGCGCTCTCAGAGGTAACTCCCATTACTCATTCACAAACAGGAGTCACATTTGGAGCTTAACCAGTTACAGAATTACTGTATGATTTCGTCCGGCAGCTTCTGAGCTAGAAAATGACAGCCCCAAAGAGGGGGCAGCGGCTCGAGGGCTGAAGTTTTAGGTGTAACGAGTTTGGGCGCGCAGATTCTTGCCATACCCTCACCTCTTTCTTCCCTCCCTCCCCCCGTTTTGGGTGCTTTATATATTAACCATTGGTTACTCCAGCTCACAAACGCAAAACAATTCTCTTCCCATACATCTGGCAGAACACACTTGACACAACGCCATACTTTACAAATTACTGTATGTCTTTTGGCGTAAGAAATCCTTAACTGTGTCTTATTGTAGCAGAGGTACCAGCGACGGGCATGCAAAGAGTAACAAATGGCCCTGTCTCGTGGAGAGCCCATATGCAACAGCGATGAGACAGCCTAGCACGAATGAGCACCCGCAAGAAGGGGACAATGAGGGGTGAAGCTTGAGAACTGCAGGGCAACCTCAGCATCCCCCTATGGGCTGAAGAATAATATCCCATCCCCTCTCCCACCCCCTTTTTCTCCTACATCAATGTCCTCTAGATGAGGTTCTTCAAAACAGCTTTTGACACACCAAGAAGAAAAGGTCAGAGCAGTTAATATCCTCCTCAATAGGATTCTGGTTCTTTGAAGCAAGGTATTTTTTGCAATTCCAAGATTAATTACTTTAACTTCAAATTCTCTAGTTTAAACTCCTGTCTAATGCCAAAACATATAAACATATACACAATAGCCATCTTACAAAGAGGTTCTTGGCGCACATAGAAAAGTTGCCTGGTTCAATAAAGAGCAGAACATTTGTGCTCACAAAGGAACATTTCCAAGCTTTGGTTTAAAATACTAACAATTTTACTTAACGTCATTTTTACAGTCAATAATAAAGAGCATATTTGGCATTAAAAGCCTGAAGACCTCTTAGGCTTTTATAGAGAAATGATTAGTTCCCTGAGGGCTCCTCTGAAGGTCAGCATGCTACCCCTGTTTGACAGGAACAGCCAGAGACAAAGGCAGGGCAAATATCTTGTCCTGACGGACGCAGCAGCAGAGTCTGGAGAACAACTTCAAACCGATTTACGCAGTCCCCTGCTGTAGCGTATACGCTCATACATTTAAAATTTAATGACATTTTGCTAAAACGTCTATGACGTACACTTTTGAGTCCATTTCCACAAATATCTGTACCACTCCTGAAAGTCGGTAATTCTGCGTACCAAAAGCTTTGCATCTGCACCTGCACCTCTACGTGAATCTGGTTCCACCAGCACAACTTGGAAACGACTCTCCCTGAAGATTTGTATCTTGTTCTTTGAACCACCTCACGACCAGAGGTACAGAGCACTCCTAAAATACTATACAGGGGACTGTCTTTCTAGATATCCTCTACACAGAGCCCTGGCTGCATTATATTTTGGAAGGAGGAGGAGGAGGAGGAGGACAAGCAGAAGGAGGAAGGAAAGGGAATCAGATCACTCCTCAGTGTTAATGATAGGGAAAATTTTCCAATGTTACATATATTTCAGTTAGTACTAGCATACCAAAACAGGCCCTTCTTGCCACCATGCTGAAATCCACGAACCATGAAGACCGACTGCATATTTTGAAAAATACAGTCATGCTATACAACATACATTTGTAGGCATGGGCTAGAGTCTATTCTTGGATTGTAGTTTAGTTTTACAACCATAAATCTGGTGCAGAATTTCACCCTCTCTCTCACTAGTACTCAGTAATAGAGTGCAATATAAAATACATCAGCAACATGACAATGATGTTAAAGATACATACCAGTATATCCAGGCAGGCTGCTTTAAGTAGAGTTATCTGGTCTGCAATGGTCAAACTTGTAAAGCCTGGCAATCGTTTCGCAAATTCCACTATTTTAATAATGCACTTTGTTGCAAGTTCACTGAATTTGTCCCAAAGCCCAAGATCCAGTCGAACCCGATGGTCTGCACTAGAGTTCTGGAAAGAAAAAGAAGGCACCATACATCAATAATCTTCCTTTCAATAAATGATTTTCACGGCAAAGAAACAACAACAGAGTATTCCTTCTAAAAGTACTTTCCATTAACATTCCAGGCATTTTCTGCAGTTTGCTGTTGGGATGATGCTGTTCTTAAACTTGGATTAATCGCCTGAAAATTCCTTGGATATTTCTCTGTTACTTACGATTGCAGAGGCCATCTGTACAAGGAATACAAATGAACTTAAACATTTTCAAATGCCACTACCATTATTCTTCCTTGCCATTATATAATAAGTGCATTGAGAGAGACAATTTACAGTTGTACCCCAGAAAATAAAATGAACAGTGGAACATGAATATTGGGTCCTCATCTGGAAAAAGCAGCACAATATTTGGAACATAGTTTCACATACTTAAGGTCTTAGCAAATTAGTTCTACTTAATTTATCTGCTCTGTGGTTCTGCAAGGGTTTTACAGCTTTCTCAAGCTACAGTCTCCCAAGAATTAAAGAGAATTTCTTTGCACAACATTATGAAAAACATCATGTGCGATGACGAATGCTGAATGCTCATTTGATGGCCTCTCCAACATATCCTCTATTGTTTTTACGTGTTACAAAGACATTCTATCTGTATCTTTCAGTGATTGTTTCCACATACTCACATAACCAAAAATCTGTAATTTTCCAGGATATACAGCACTATCTGTGTTTAGCTGTGACTCATGTTTTCGTACATTAAAAATAACCACTTAGCCCTTAAATCAGTTAAGCATGAAGTGTGTGTCAGCCAAGAACCAGAGGATTCAAAAGTTACTGTGATCTACTTGAGAATAGCAGTCCAACAAAAATGGGGGCATGCAGAGAACTGGTTAGTTGGTTTTTTTCCAACCAAAACTCCTGTAGGGTAACAACTGACGAGGACAGAGATCGGAAGTACTCGATCCATTCCTACCCATGCAGCATATTCCCCGCTTTGCCGGCATTTAACCAGTGCTGGTTGCAGTGCAGCTGGGGAGACAGTCCCCCTGCCACTGGATTTATTTCATGAGTCACCAGATTCCCTGTGCATCACAGCAGCCTTCTGCTGCCTGGCGTTCCCCTCTGCATAGGAATAGCTGCTCATTACAAGACACATTTTACCTGTAAAAAAAATGATGATTTCTAATTTGCAAAAGGTACTGAGCTGCAACCACAGAAAACAAAAGGCAGAATTTCTCTCACTTCCACATCTAATCTGATGGCTACTCGAGAGAGAGAGAGAGAGGCATCTCCAGAAAAAAGGCCCAACCACTCCAGATAGATAGCTAAGACAGGTAGGGGGAATCCCCCTCAGACAGCAGCTTCCTTCTCTGACTGCAGAGGAAGCCCATGTGATTAGCTGCCTTATTTTTAGTTAAAGTTAAAATGTTAAAGACATGTAAATTAACTTAGAAGTTAAATGAGGAGTGTCAGTCCAAAAGCCTGACAGACATGACATGCACAACGCCAGTGGTAAGCGTTTAGTTTACTCGGGTCACACGTGCTTGGAGGAAACGTTTCTAATAACTTTGCCCCTGCTGTTGCTGATGGTAAGGACATCTACCTCCTTGAAAATAGATGGAGATCTCCAAAGGAGTCATCTAGTGGGGACTACTTTCAGCCTCTCTCTCTCTGATGCATGTACTCCTCCTCCTCTTCCCAGCTGAGACATCCAGCAGGGAAGCAGCAGTGGCATCGTGACGAGCCATGGTGACATCCCATGGCCACTCGCCTCAGCCGCTTGGGCCTCTTTCAGAGGCAGGGCTAGACTCAGTGCCAGGGATACTTTTTATTGAATAAGCAGTACAAAGGGGCCCGAATTCAGCTAAAGGAAAATCTCTTGCGTGCAAACGAATTCTCCGTGAGCAAAAAGCCATATGGAAGTAGTTTGTCACCTCTGATACCAACAGCCTCCTGTGGTTCACAGGAAGGAAGAGGCAGGAGAGGATGTGGGGCATGAGATAAGCCCAGCATGGCTACAGATGATCTGTCGCCAGCGCCAGGCCCAGGGATAGGCATGACGTGAAGGCCATGGCTGGTCCCAAGGCAGTCACCAGCCTCACGTCCACCTCTACTTGCAGCAAAGTAGAGAAGTACACCTCTTTACGTTAGGCCATTATGACAACAAATCAATGTTAATCACGATGATCAGTTTGAAGGTGCACATATGCCTTCTTTTTAAGAGATAAGAAACTAACACCATCCTTTCTATTTAAAATGCTATTCTGGAAACTCCTTAAAATCAGCTTCTCTTATTTTTTTTTTTTTTAATAAGGGCAGAAGAAAAGATAGGAGAAAATGTCTGCATAATCCTAAACCTAAAGAATTGCCTTCAAAACGGTCCAAAACTAATCGGTTAACAGTCATTCTAATGCCCTTTGAAACATTTCTTTCGGCTAGTGGAGTATGCATCCTTCAGATTTATTTTATTTCATCCTCAAGGACCTTGGTGAAATACAGTACATTGGAGGAAAAATAAGATCAAGATGTGCAGTCATTCAGGCTGTAATTAAATTTAATAGGCAGTTTATCCAGTTCATAGAAAGATGGCATAGCGCAGAGCTACACAAAGCAGAGCCTAAAGCAGGAAATCATTTTACAATAGGGTATCCATCTGGAAAAAAAGACGTTGCACGAAACCAGCAAGTGTGAACGAAATCTTCATCAGTATCATATGAGGTTACTTTATCATGCTACAGTACTGGCAATGGGAAGTTTGACATGTCTTCTAGTAAGAGTAATGCACAGCCGTCTTAACAAATGTAAATCTAACTCACTATTATGCAAACTGAAGGGAAGGGGCACTTAATAAAATACAAAAGAACCTGGTGTTTTATTATGCTGGTTGCCATATTCCTCAGCAGTAGATCCAATGTGGTTTACATATTATCTTTGAGATGCTACAAATGGAAAGACTTTTAACATTTTATTTGGTAATGAATGCAGCCATGAGCATCATGGAAAATAGCCAGTTTTTTTAGCAGCACTTCTGAATATGTAAAACCAAAACTGACTCCGTTGATTTATAGGTTGAACACTAAAACGTGAGGTTAATAAAATGCACGTTAGAAATAGAAACGCTGATTAAATTTGCCTGAGGATCTCCTCTAACCATGCTGTGAAAGAGATGCAGACGCTATGACTTTTCCTGAATGTTTTACTGAAGCAGTTTTTTGGGTGTCTTTTCCAGGAGCAGTCTTGCATGTTTTTCAGGCCTTTGCACCAGTGCACATATGGTGGAACAACCCTGTAATACGCCCTAGTGACATCTTTATCACTAGAAAAGCCCAACTTTGCTATGAAATCCAATTAAACAGTCATTTTTGCCACATAAATTGATCCCGTTTTTTCCATCATTTTTGTTTTTCATTGCAGTCTGCTCTGTCTCCACATTAACAGTACAGGTTGAGGTACTCACAGAAATATATACAGTAGCAGAATCCCTCCTGTCTTTAAAATCCACTTTACAAATGAAACAAGGCTCACAGGGGCCACTATGCCCTAATCAGGAACACTTGCCATGCCTCCTTAGGAAAAGCAGCAGTATGCTCTAGCCCGTGCAAGTTCAATGAAGGTATACGGCATGCTCCTGCGCTCAATCCCGGCATCAGGATATATTACATTTCCTCTACAACAGCACAGAAAAACAGCCAGGTAACTTTTAGGTTGAGCACTTGCAAAAAGACCAAAATGCCACCGAGATGCAAAACCTGCCTGCTTGCAGCTAGCAAACAGCAACTTGGGAGGACCTGAGGCAAAGATCTATCCACAGAGTAAAAACTATTTTCTGTTTTATCCTCCCTTTATCATGAGGCTGGACGTAACACAGCTGTAGACTTACAAATAACACCGGTCTCAAGGGACAAGCAGTATAGTTACACTCAATTATACTATAAAGTATGACATCTCTAGAGAAATTACTAAGGCACTTTCTCTTACCTGGATGACAGTAATAAAACAGATCTATTTATGATGGACTTTTGAAACCCATTATGTTTAAACAGCTTGCTGATTCTCATCATCGACAGAACTGTACTTGCCACTGCCCACCAAATGCAACTGTTAAGTCAAATGACCCAGGGAATTTAATATGAGTGCTAGTCTCCCATTATTTTAAGTAGGCTTTTATTAACTATGCAAAGCATAGTAATTATTACAGATAGAGACACTTTTTCTTTTTAAAGAGCAAAGGGATATAAAGTGCACAACTGAGAATGCTTTTCCAAACCCATTTTTGAACAAATAAAAATACACAACGGGGGGAAAAAAAACCCACATAATCTTTTTCTACAGGAAATGCAGACTGCAGAGTCCAAGAACAAGAGGAGTCAGATATGCAGTCCAAATGTCTGAACAGATTTTGTTTTGTTTTGTTTTTTAAACGACTGTATCTCTGCAAGGTCTCTTGGTATCAGTTCCTTTACCCTGCTCTCTTAATACTTAAAATCCTTTGCTCTTTTTAGCAACAAACAAAAACATGTTTTTAATCAGTCTCAAAGATCGCAGAGCCAGAGACGTGGAGGAGCCGAGCTTATGGCACGCAGCCTCTTCCTCCCGCGGTTTCTATCAGTACATAAGCGCAGAACTCATGAAATTCAAGTCAATCCACATTGATTCAATATGCTCATTTCTCACTTCTCATTTAAAGAATTAAACAAAACAAAACAAAAAAGAAACCATAGGAAGGTGGTAAAACCAATCCATACGCTTCACAAAATGAGGGGGCCATTTTCCACAAACATTAGCCTACAAAAGCAGGCATAAAATAGCATGACTAGCAATCTTCTACCTGCACTATCTTGTTACTATTAAGAAAAACAAAGTGCTCTATGCCTCTACCTCTCTTTGGTCTCAACGCATGCATATATATATGTATGTATGCATATGTATATATGTGTGTGCTTGTGTGTGTGTGTATATAACAAAAAAAAAAAAAAAGGGTGATATGGTTCTGCTTTTTGACATCTGATCCCTTTTTCAAGTGCCTCAGAAGGAAAGGCTATGAGCCCTGCATTTGACCCATAACGCAGGCTGTTGCCTGAGCACCGAAGCTGTGTCCTTCAACTTGCCATGGATCTCTCCCCTCTTCTGAGAAGCTCATGGATCCTCCACCTCTGCCAAAAATAGTCTCCCCCACTCCTTTGGTGACAGACAGCTGAAGACGGAAGTCTACCTTTTTTCCAACCACACGGCTATTTAGAAATACTCTATTCCCCAAGTTTTTTTGTTTGTTTTGTTTTTTTAATCAGGTGCAAACAAGTGAGGGAGTCCTGTACTCTACCCTTTAAAGAAGTTAACATTAAAAACAAATTCCTATCCAAAATGCCAGAACGGCTGCCACACCTTAGCTAGACGAGAGATTCATCTAGTCAGCATTTCACACAGAGAACATGAGAGCAAAGCAAGAGGGTAGCTAACATTTAGCACCACTGCTATTAGTTTTGACACAGCTGTTGACGGAAGCCGTAAGCTCTCAAAGATTCAAGGTAAGCCAGAAATAACTCTCTCAGTATAATTTTTGTTATTGTAACGTGTATAGTACCAAAACATGACAAAGCAGCAGTCTTTAGCCAGACGCAGCCAACCCTGTATGGAGTGCCAAAAGACCAGCGACAAAAACAAGAAGTCCTGTATCCCCAGGCTGTCCAGTGTGGCCTGAGATCAGGATTAATGACACTTGGCCTCAGAGACACTGTGGTCAGATCACGCTTATTCATAGTCAGCTCAGATTCATCCCTTACTAAAACCCAAGTGCCCTCCGTAAGGGCTCCGCAGTTCCTACACGGACATGAACTCACCTTCAGGCCCAGCAGGAACCCAAGGACGAAGGCATCAGTGGTGTGATATACAACAAGACCTGCTCTGATTTCATCCGTTTGTATCATTTCAAGAGCTAAAACATTAATGACACTTAAGCATCCAATATATAATGCAAGAGTATGGTGCCCAGGTTTATCTTTCAGTCACTCAGGATCTTTGAAAACTACCACCACAGAGCATCGACCGAGCAGCTGTCGCGCCCTCTGCTAGCTCCCAGTTAACACAAAACTATGTCACAACACGTTTGCACGCGCAGGCATACTGATCTGTTATTCCAGATAGCCAGACCATGGGCAATGCAGCCTGCGAGCAACCAACGCCGGCATGCAGACCAGTCTGGGGCACGCGTCCCAGCTGCGGACACACAATCACCTCTCCAGCAAGGCATACAGCAACTGGCTTTGAACCGGGAAGATTTTCCCACACTTATTCAGAAGCGCTCGTACATTTGCAGAAGGCTGAGGGCACCTGTTTGGAAGTTCTTATTCGCTTTGAGATGAGGATGTACCACATATTGTGAGGGGAGGGGTGGAGGGCATTAACCTTGGAATTTCCTTGAAAGGAGACACTACGAATCCCAGTCTCGAGCCTTGAGGGGGAGAGCTTTTCGTTATGTCACCAGCTGGCTGCTTTTGAGCTCCTAGCCTTGCATACCGCCCTGGTCCCTGGAGGTCTGACTGCGCTTGCCTACTTCAGCAGTATTTAACAGCATGCCTACACTGACTGTTTTGACTAAGTCTACCGTGAGCATGAGTAGAGAGCACCAGAGCAGCCTGCAGAAGACAGAGGCCTTTCCCAGAACTAACAAGTTTTTGCAGCTCTCAAAATTAAACATGAAAATGCTTGTGCAAATACTTTCAGTGACATGAAAATGATGTTCTTTTCTAGTGCCTCAACCTTATGCATTTAATGTCACAACTTTTACGCTTGCTTTTCTTGCACTTAAAATTCTAAAACCTTGTATCTAATCTGAGACTTTTGAACTTTGCACTTTGTAAATAAATGAGCATGCCATAAAGCAAGTACCCTGTTCATTAAACAGTGACCTGAATATTTATGCCACACGTGGACTTGCCTATATTAACTCTCTGAGAATTTCAGCATTTACTTCAGTGTCACAGCGTACTCAAAATGGAGAGTAATCCAAAGGCCATGCATTTCCCCTAGAGCCTTGATCTTGTTCCCAGATCCTCAGCAGGGGCTGGAGAACACAGACTGTGGAGGCCAATGACTCCTTGCCTGGGCCAAGCCACTCCACCTCACACGCTGCTTCACTACTTCAGGACATTTTCCTCAGTCCTCTAAAACATCTAGTACTACTTCAACTGACCACACGAGATCACATAGGGGAGACCCAACACAAGCAATTCCTCTACTGGTACGTCTCTAAATACTGCCTCATGTATATTTTTTAGCATCTTTTTAATTACTGCATTCACAAACTTGCCATTACGTTTCCTCTCTCAAATCTATAAATATGGCAAACTTTTTTCCCTGTATTTCGCAACACATAATCATATAGAAAAATTTCCTGACTGGGGCTGATTTTTCATTTCCAAAAAGCAGCTAAAGCGAATGCTGCTTTGTGGTATTTTGGTAGACTGGAAGAGGAACTGAATCCAAATTTGCCTTTTAGAAACTCGTTTATTTAGATATTTCATGTTTTCCGTGACCTTGGCAGTTTGGAGACTGCTACCAGTAATCTAGCAGCATTTAAAAAATTCTCTGCACCTGCAAAGCTGTAATGCACTAGCAGAACTCACGTCTTTGGAACCTAATGAATTTTAAATGAATGGTAGTATATAATTCACTCATGGAGTCCAAGCTCGTCTCCTTGCCAGATTAATCTTTCGGACCGCCTCTTACTATACTGGTAAATAACATTTCCAGTTAAGTGCAACTTGTCTTCTTCAGCATGTATTTTCTTGCACATTTACATTTTTCATGGCTAAGGATATTCAAGGAATGTAACCACTTTTTTTGGTCTATTTAAACATCCAAAGTTTCCAATCCAAAGATCATGTCATTCATGCAAATCTAAAATGTAGGTTTTACAAATCATGCTTACGGTAGTGTATTTTCCCAGCTGGCAGAGCGAAGGGAAGGTTTCCTGGTGAGCTTTCCGGATCTTCTCAGTGAGATCATCCAACTCTGCTGTCATTTCATAGTTTTCTGTGGACTCCTGCTTTGAAGGTTCCTTCTTCTTTTTGTTCCTATCATTTCTGACAGCTAGGGAAAAAAAGAAGAGACAGAGATAACATGTGGTTACTCAGACCACCCCATGTTGCTTTTGCTGCTCTGCTTCAAAATACTGCAAAATATTTTTTTAATTTAAATGTAAGTTAAGTCGAGATAAAAATGTTAGATGCACAGTGAATACTACTGTAAGCTTAACTACTTATCAGTAAAAAATAAATTTAATGGGATAGTGATGAAACCAAACTTCGACAGGTGTTTATTGCAGATGTACTATCATACATCCACAGTATCTTCCTTCCAAGAAAGCCTGCTACAACTTCACATGCACTGCAAGTCTCTCAACACCTTTGTGAGATGGATTTTTTTTCATTTTATCATTACAATTGCGTGTGGCAGAGCAGAGAATTTCTCTTGAGTGATGCAGCTGGTATCTTATTGGATGCAAACAATGCTAAAGAAAAGCAGTAACTGTCTGTCTTGCTACATTTCACAATACGGAAAGATAACAAAACCCATACTAATACAAAACCCCATCAAACAAAAATAATTTAAGAGGAAAGTTAAAGCTAAAAACAATAAATGAAAGAAGATGAAACACATTAAATTCAAGATCTGAAGATCAAAGGAAGAGCACAAACACTTGAAAGAGTAAAAATCACAGCACAGCTTTCTAAAATTCCTTGCCATCTGCTCCTGCACTTAGGCCAGCCATCTACCTTCCCCCTGGTTGTGGGGATTACTGGAAATATGCGTTGTACAGCGCTCATTCTGTAATTGATTCCCCACTTATTTGTGTTTTGTAATAAAATACGACAGCTGCTCCATCACTATGCTACTCTTTGTTCCTTTAATGAAAATAGCTTGATTTTACAAAACGTGCCCAAGAGATAAGCCCATGTCCACAGCATCGCCAATGCTTGTGAACTTTATCAAAAGGACTGCTGTTAGCTAAAGCTAACGTTTTAAGCGTGACCAAACACATAAGGGACCTGGGATTTAAAACAAAGCCAAACAAAACCAATCCCTCTCCCAAAAGACTAAAAGCTGCTGGACAAGCAGAATATAATACTAACGTTCACCTATGTTCACAACTTCACGATACTTAAATCAGCGCCCCAAATTCGGGGGGTGCAGCAGTATTTGAGGACGGCCATTTACTGATTCTCATTTGTACTGCCCGGCTCCAGAAACAGCATTTAGCCGTGCCACGGGGAGCGAAGCATGGCAGAATTGGCAGAAATTCAGAGACAGCTCTGAGCTAGCTCTTTTCCCCAGCAGGTTCCCCAGGCCCATCCCCACAGCACCATGTCTTCTGCAGTTGCTTGCTCTGTTCCTGTGAACCACAAATGATCACAAAGAGTGGACAAATACTGAACGATTAAGGAAAGACGAGTTTTAGCTTACTCTTACCTACAGCCTCTGTTAAACAATGAATAACACACCGTTGGATCCATTTTCCTCTAGGTATTTTTACTGAGAGAAAATTGAGAGTAATGTGAGAAAATGGTGGGGTGGGAAAACAGCAAGTTATGGGGACGTACAGAAAGAACATAATGCACATAACAGAGAACAGGGACGAGTTCCTGGTGAGTCACCAAGCACGTACTGAATGCAACTGAAACAGCTTCGCTTTTCTCAGTAAGGGTCTGACTTTGCAACCCGGAGAACCCTGTCCCTGATCCAGCGTATGTTTGATACACGGACTTGATTAACTTGATTTCAATTGTGTGAACGGACCCGCACTGAAGTCAATTACGTGCTTTCCTGCATCAGGGCGAGGATGCTGAGCACCTCGCCAGATTAAAGCGCAACCTGGAGTGACATCAATTCTGAGGTCTAGACTAACAGAGACTCAAAAGAGGCCAAAGAAGGTGGACAGAAAAGAAAAAGACGTACCCTCCTGCGATGGTTCAGCGCTAACCATTTAGGCAGGTTTTGGGGGTTGGGGTCACTCCCCATTTTACAAGCATTTCCCTAAAGCCACAATGTCCTGATTTGCTCACTGTATCTCAGGGCTTAGGAATATTCTTACGCCTTGACAAAACACGCAGGACCAACACTGACATCATGAGCGCACCAAACTGTCACTGCTCTCCAGAAGTAAATTCTGATCACTGCTGCACTTGGGAGAAAAAAGAGCTCCTTGGAAAATAATATGAACTCCTATCCAACCGCAAAGAGCAATAAACCTTTGTAATAAGGCCCCATTTACTTATAGTTCTATGAGCTGACTGACAAATTTGCTAAACAGGCAGCTTCGGCAATTACTTATCTCAATAGCTTTGAGCTCCTCGTGGCGCACACACACACGGTATTTAGGCCACTCGGAGGAGCAGCTGCCAAGAACTCCCAGACACGAGGAGATAATTCACACAGGGGTTGCTTTGCTGCTCCCTCACCACCACTGCCGAGCTCTGTCTTCAGCTTTACCTGAAGTCCTTTCCCTTCCAAAGGCCCCTTGAAAGGCAGCTGCTGGTCAAGCCACACCATGAAACTGGCTCGGCTCTGTCCTCTTTCTTTTCAGGCACAAATCACTAAAGGTTAGGATGAGTGGAATGAGAAAATTAGCATGTCCTGAAAACAAAGAACAATTTCTATGTTCTTCGACATTGATTCTGACAATCTTCATAATAATAATAAAACCCAAATAACATTCATCTTCTTGCTTTATTCATGCTTCCTATGTCTCCTACATTCGTCTTCACTAAGGCTGTAGCAGACATCGCAGTGTTTCTATAGTCCATGTAAAATAACACAAATTAAAAAAAAAGGCTGACATATAGTACCCAGGCTCCAAAAACATAAAGAATTTCAATAAAGTAAAACTATTATGCAAATTCATCTACATCTATAATTCAACTGAAAAAAAAAAGAAAAAGATTAAGCCATTACTATGTTTAAGAGTTAAATAAAAACATAATAACACACTTTTGCACAGTAAATTCAAAAGCTATCCTTGCCCTAGGAACAGGAACTGTCACACCACACGTGGGTATGGTTTTGCATTACAGCTTATGCTTATATTACATAAATCACACCTTTTTATATCTTGGTCTTTAAATGCATATGATCACATCAATCCCTGATGTAATTCCACTGCCTTTAATGATGATATGCAAGTGATGAATCTGTGTCACAGTTAATGCTGCTGTAGAAAAATCAGGTTATGAATTTCATTACTTGTGCACTATATTTTGACTCCATGGTTGCATTATTTACGAGCTCCCGACACGGGACAGTATGGTGGCTCACTTGCCCTGTGACACACAAAAAAAAAAAAAGAAAAGAAAAAAAGAAAAAGAAAGAAAGACAATGGGGAGAGAATGACAGAAGGTGTAGGTCGGGAGGAAGCTGTGCCCCAGTGCTGCTGAACTGCCGAGCGAGGTATCCCCACGCCCGAGCATGTCTGCTCTGAGTCATTTTTGTCCGCCAGCCTCCCTGTCACTTTGACACACAGGCCAGTACTTGCACTTCCACACCCAGAGACTTCCAGGGAGCTGCAGCTGAAAGCCAGCAAAGGCACTTTCAGTTGCCTTAACTTCAAGCACCAGCTGCTGCCCTCAGACATTCACCCACTACATGATGGAAGAAGATGGGGCTGAACGTCATCTCCTACCCCTTCCCCTCCCCGCGCCTGCCAGGCTGTCCCCCTCACCCCACGTTTCCCACCGTGCTCCTTAGCCGTAGACACATTGCCCTCAGACGTTCAGTGACCACGCAGCAGTTCCTGTGCTCGAACGGGATCCCTCCAAGCATGTCATAATGCTGGGACTTGTCCCATCTTAAACGCAACCCCCACCCCGCCAACTAGTCCACCAAATTTAGTCCCTCCTTGGCCTAAGAAGAATCTGGAGCCCAGCCCAAGAGAGCTAGCCAGTTTCTAGATTATCAAGGAAAATTAGGAAACGCCAGGTTTTCATATTCATTTTGTCAAGGAAGGCACAAATGCGTGCAATGGAAAGAACCTGCCGCTCTGAACACAATTTTCCCAATTACTTGCATAACCTTTGCTTCCCCAGATGCCCAGAAGATGGTTTGACAGCACCTTTCATATTTTACAATGATTAATCAGCTATAAATTCATGGCTTGAAATGCTATCATTGCAGTTTTGCCTCTCAGAGATCCCCATGACCTTTGAATAGCTTTGTGTACTAGTTAACTGTTTTTGTTCCTGTATTGACAACTGCTAGTGTTTCCAGTTGGTTTACATTCCTGCAAAACCAGTCCTCTTGTCCTTATGTAGTTTGAAGTTATTTGTTAAGCTAACAAATCCCAAAAGCCCCAGGAAGCACAGAAAGCAAGCCAACATGCTTTCTGAATGCACATTGCTTAGCACAAGGTAGATTTTCCACAGGATTTTTTTGTTTTCCAATGCTAATGAGAGCAGAAAACACAGCTGGGTGTGAGGCAGGACTCCCGCAGACCTGCCAGCTCTTCCCTCTGGGCAGAGGGCTGCTGTCTCGGATCTGCTCCCTTGCACCTCTGGCAGCAACCCATCCATTTCTAACTATCGAGCAGCCTGGGCTGCTGGAAATCGCAGATAAATGGCACCATGCACACACAGGCGGGCAGCGAGGCCCACGCTGGACATCGCACCTAGTGTGTCCAGGAGTGCCAGGGATGCGTTGCTGTGCTGCAAAACCACACGTCTGCCCAGCTCCCTTACACGGCGACGCTCAGACTACAACTTCCGAGAATTTTAACTCTGGCAGAAGTTAATAGCTGCGGACCAGTTCAGTGAAGCATGCACAATTACCCATTCCTATTGCCCACGTTGATCCATCACGATCCGCGTCTTACTTCTTTTCCTTTACTGTGTATCGGCTTTCCTCCCATCATCTTTCAGTAAACTGTGCCCATTATAACTAACGGTGATACATAAGAATGTCTTTCAAAACAGCCACCTTGGGAAACCTTAAACCCAGTGAAACTTAGCGCATTCCCCCCCCCAGAGAGAAGGGGAGAGGATGAGCTAGACTTTGCAAATCCCATAGACAAAGCCAGCACCGAACTACACATCACAGAAAGT